ATTCTTTAAAATTGTAACAATATTTTGTTTTACAGTATTGTTTTCATTTCTACGAGTATGTATTTATCATAATATGATGTTGTTGTATCGTTATTCTTTTATTTTTGTCTACTCCAACATTTTCTTTTGCCATTGTTTACCAGTTCATCTATTATATTATCGTTTATTGACCAAATACACAACACAAATATTATTTGAAATAAAATAATAATTTAAAAGAATAATCCATATTCATTAATTAAATAATCTGACAAATGAAAGGAATAATTATGAATTCAACAATGATTTCAAAATAATGCATCAAATAAAGAACGAAACTCGAAACAAAGAACATTCTTCCGTGAAATCTCGCTGAATGATATTTTAATTCTGATAAACCCATTATTCATTCGAAAATAATATTTAAACAATTCTAATCGTGCTGCAGTCTTACTCAATTGTATTGCATTTCGCGGCGTTGTTATCTATTTCTGCGATATTCTTACGAACTTTCTGGGTTGCGTATAATATTCCTTTCGTTCCGCACATGCTATACTGATAATTCATATCAAAACGTCAGCTTTGTTTTACCCGTGAAATTTTATTTTCTCGTTACTTCCTTCGCAGTGAAGTTTTCGATATCGCGAAATATTGTTGAGATTCATTCGATAATATAATTAAATGCCGAATGTACGCGTGTTGTCGCGTAATCGCACAAATTATGAGTCATGTTTCATCAAATATTCAAACACGCCTCATGCGGTATGGTCACTGACCCCAATTTAAAATGATTGATTTATCTGAAAGATGCAATTTCGTTTCTTCTACGGATTAATCTAATCCAAAGTTTTTCTTTTTTAGGTGCTTATTTCTGTTTCGACAATCCTTCAGCATTACAAGATAATTTTAAAACGGACCTGCAGATGTCAACCAGCAAATTTGTATTATTGTACTCCATTTATTCATGGCCGAATGTGATTCTTTGTTTTATTGGAGGATATCTGTTGGACAGCATTTTTGGTATAAGGCTGGGCACTATTATATACATGGCCTTGACTTTAATTGGTCATCTTATATTCGCGACTGGAGCTTTAGTAAACGCTTTTTGGCTTATGATGCTCGGTCGATTTGTTTTTGGGTATGTTGTTTAACTAAGTTAACAATTAATGATTAATTTTGTTAATGCAAATGTTTTTTACAGTATAGGCTCAGAATCATTGGCAGTTGCTCAGAACAGTTATGCCGTATTGTGGTTTAAAGGAAAAGAATTGAATATGGTGTTTGGCTTGCAACTGAGCTTTGCTCGAGTTGGTTCAACAGTAAACTTTTTGATCATGGAACCAATCTATCAATTTGTGAACCAGTATTATAAAGGACCAGAATGTATCGGGCTTATACTCTTTCTGGCTTCTTTAACTCTTGTAGTGTCTCTGATCTGTGCATGTGTATTGGGTGCCATGGATAAACGAGCCGAGACATTATTAAGAAGGGGAGATGGACAACTGCCCAAAGTTATCAGTCTCACAGACGTTAAAGACTTTAAACCTATATTCTGGTTAATCACTTTCATTTGCATTGCCTACTATGTTTCAATATTTCCATTCATTGCTTTAGGCAAGTAAGTATAATTAACAGAAGTGTTTAATAATTATATTTTACATACAATATAGAGCTTGTAATTGAAACTATTGTAGCCATACAAGTAAAATGATTTTAGTGAAGAGGGTCACGTAATTTTACATGATTATTTCTTCTTGTAGATAGATTAATAGAGGCTATGTGAAAGTTTATTTGTTCTTATCAGTTCTATTTGTTTAAATATCGTATCGGTCATTATTAATTTTTCAAATGAAGTAAAGTTTTTATTTAAAACATGTGTTATTAAAAATTCGATTCTTATTTCAAATATTTTTCACTAAAATCATTGTACAGTAATTAACGATACAAACTCCTTCAGGTGTGGCAATATATATAAAAATTATTTATAATTTCAATGATATCAAACAGTATTTTTATGTAAAATATGTTTCTTTAGTGTTTTAATGATCACCGATAGCGCTTTCTGTATTTTTTCTTTTCAATATTATAACTGATATTGAGATGCATTCCAAGAATTTAGTACAAAAATATTGTTTTGAAATTCAAATTGCATGCAAAATATTTTTTTTCTTTCATCACAACTGAAGGAGCTATTTACAAGATTATCTTTTGATAAACCACGACGTATATATATAAATATATCTAATTGTATAACACTGCTTTCTTAGGGTATTTTTCGAACGGAAATACTCATTTGAGCCATCCAATGCGAATGCGGTGAATTCCCTCGTGTATTCCATATCTGCTATTGCATCACCCATTTTCGGATATGTTGTCGATAGAACAGGAAGGAATGTGTTATGGGTATTTATTGGTATTTTTGCAACTATAGTGGCTCATGGATTACTTGCATTCACATATGAAAGTCCCTACGTGTGCATGATCCTCATGGGATTAGCGTACTCCATGCTTGCCAGTAGTTTATGGCCGTTAATTGCACTTGTTACTCCAGAATATCAGCTTGGTACTGCTTTTGGGATGTAAGTAGAGCGACGTACAAAATTCAAGCTTAATTTAGATAGTGTATATTGTAATTTATTCCTTTGTAACATCTTGTCTATTTGCAGAGCCCAAGCTGCACAGAATCTAGGTATGGCAGTAGCTAATATCGTAGCTGGATTAATTGTGGATAAAAGTGGATACTTTATGCTTGAGATATTTTTCTTGGTTTGGCTATGGAGTATGTTACTGGTTTCTTACATTACAAACGTTGTATAATGTGCTGCAAACTATTATATTATTAATATGTCTTTAACAGTTTCCCTGATAACTTCTGTTGCGATCTGGTTGCTAGACGTAGCAGTACACGATGGTTATCTAAATATGTCGCCGGACCAAAGAGAAAAATATGACAAACTTCGACGTACACCAGAAAGTCTCGAAAGGGAAAAACTTTTATCGGCCGAATCTACTTCAGATTTATCAACTGACGATCTTTTACAACCACAGTCTGACGTTAGCATCAGAAATCGTTATCTATCTCGTATCGGAGCAATGGTACTCTAATTTGAAATGTTGTATAAGGTATAAGTGTATAACACATTTGTATTTTTAGGTACCTCCATGTACAAAATCCACGCCAATACGTCAACCTTTACGATGATACATTCCACTTAGATACAATTTTCAAACATAAATAGTTGTTCTTGTTTAAGGTACCATTGAAACAAAAATTTGCTCACTGTGTCTTCCTCTCACACAGCGTTAATCTGTGATAATTTCTTAACCGATACATTTACAGTTGACTGTAATTAATTTTTAATATGTCGACGAGCAGATATTTTACGAATATATTAATGCGTCGATGCTTGACAAGTGACAGAGATACATTATTTGTTTTACAGTAATGGCATTTTGTAACCACAAGATAATGCGATTTTAGGAATTGTCATCTTATGAGTAAAATGTTTATAGCATGAGTGAATAAAAGATTATTTTTTATCTCTTGTTTGATAAAATAATACACCAAGATGTTCAATTTCTTATCAGTGTATATGATCTCTTTAACATGTAAAATATTAGTATATTAAAATGTATATGTACATGTTGCTGAATCAAAATATGATATATGCGATTTATTCTAAAATATTATTTCATGCCCACGCATATTAAGTTAAACATTTATATTTGGAAATATTTGACTTAAACTATAATGCTATGTTTATTGTAGAATAATTTAATGAACACGGAATGAGATCTGTGACAT